AAAATTACTCCATGATTGCTTATATAATTATTATTATATAGAGTCTCCAATGTTATGTTGGCTTCATGTAAAATAATTTGGATGGTTATTTATTTTACTAAGCTCATGGGCAGTTTAAATAACACTATAAATGTGTCTTACATTAAATTCATCTTTTTAAATAATAACTTTACCAACTTTTCCATTTAGCCAGTCATCTGCTGGTCCCAACTGCCTTCAATAAAGGTATTAGTTATTGTTTCAAAATGTTCCATAATAAACATATATTATTCTTACAATACTAGAGTACTAAATATTATGTAAATGAAATGATTAGAGAAATATGCAAATGTCTATATGCAAAACTTCCCAAAACAATATTATTTATAATGAAAGTAGAAAAAAGCAACCTAAGTGCTAAACATTAACAGGGGATTGGTTAAACTAAAGTACTTTCTATTAATAATAAAAATAATACAGCTATTGAAAATGATTGATATGAGAAAATTGCTGAAATTTTTGAGTACTTGAAAATTACAATTGAAAATTTTGCTTTGGGAGAATACACATTCTGGCATGGTCTAAACTTTTTAATACTAGCAAAATTTTACTTCTATAACAAATAATATACAATTTTAAATACTACTTGTTCCTAGAAATATTCCCCAAAAATGTGAAGCCAGTATATACACAATAAGCTGAAGAAAAGTCCTAAGTTTGAAGGAACTGATACCAATGTTAATCAAGTCCTTTAACATTTATCTGAGGATTTCTATACTTAGAATCCCAGAATAAGGAATGCCATAGCTTCTGGATCTCAGGGTTCATTGTAGAACAACTCCTTATTTTCTTTTCACCTGGGGACTCTATGAAAAATGAAAATATTGGGCTAAGAGAGTTGATGTGGCCAAAACAAACACAAACAAGGGCCACAAAAGGTAGCCCTTCTGGTTTGTTTGGCTGTCATTCCAACAGACCAGAAGAGATTAAACTGCAGTTACTTAATAATGCAACAGTGTCTCCTAGAACTTCCAGATGAAAACATTCCAGAAGCTGCCAAAGATTCTACTTGAGTGAGATCTTCACCTCTCCGGACCAATAACCACAGTCTCTAGACAAAGCTGCTCATTGAAAATTTCAGTGTATGACAAAACTGATAGGAAACTCAAACTTTGGCCAGGGGTGTGGCCTGTTTCCTATTCTGGTGAGGCCTCCTGTTGTTTCTGAGGGAGCCTTTAGGGGCTGTGTTGGCAGTTGAGAGCATGCTGGGCCCATGTCACCTTACCTTTGTCCTCCTGGCCATGGCCATCACCTGCACTGGGACACAACGCACATCACTATGGACAGAAGACTGCAGAAAATCAATGTATCCTCCTTCTGGACCAACCTATAGAGGACCAGTTCCATGGTATGCCATAAATCTTGATTTGCCACCCTATGATAGATGGCATGAATTAATGACTAATAAGCAACCAGTGCTAAAGATTATAGTGAATTCCATGAGGAATATAATAAATGCACTTTCACCAAGTGGAGAAGTTATGCAAATGGTAGATGGAAATTTGTCTAAAATACTTGGAAAATTTCCTGCTCCATATGAAGAGGAAATGAAGGGAATTTCAGATGCTACTAACATATCTTTAGGAGAGATTATTGCCTTCAACATTTTTTATGAATTGTTTACCATGTGTACTTCAATAATAACTGAAGACAAGAAAGGTCATCTACTACACGTTAGAAATCTGGACTTTGGAATATCACTTGGGCAGAATGTAAGTGATAGTAAGTTGGTCATAACTGAGCAACTAAAACTTTTAACAGTAAATTTGGACTTCAAAAGAAACAATAAAACTGTCTTCAAGGCTACAAGCTTTGCTGGCTACGTGGGTGCATTAACAGGGTTCAAACCAGAACTATTTAGTCTCACAATAAATGAACGTTTCAGCATACATGGTGGTTATCTGGGTGTTCTCGAGTGGATTTTAGGAAAGAAAGACGCCATGTGGATAGGGTTTATCACTAGGTCAGTTCTGGAAAATGGTACAAGCTATGAAGAAGCCAAGAAAATACTGACCCAAGCCAACTTATTGGTCCCAGCATACTTTATTCTAGGAGGTAAGCAGTCTGGGGAAGGATGTGTGATTACAAGAGAAAGAAAAGACTCTTTGGATGTATATGAACTCAGTCCTAAGCAGGGTAGATGGTATGTGGTACAAACAAATTATGACAGATGGAAAGCCCCCTTATTCCACAATGATCGCAGGACACCTGCACAGATGTGTCTAAAACGTGTAACCCAAGAAAATCTCTCATTTTCAACCTTATATAATATTCTATCAACAAAACCTATTCTCAACAAGCTGACTGTATTCACCACCTTGATTGATGTTACAAGCAATCGCTATGAAACTTACCTCCGGGATTGCCCACACCCTTGTATGGGCTGGTGAACACACATCAGGCTGCAGACTACCCTGAGATATGAAAAGTGACATCCAACATGGCTGACCAGCAACGCTGCCTCAAGTCCTTCCAAAGGCCAAAGACTCTGAGTTGTGTGTTTTTTGTTGTTGTTTTTCTTTTTCTTGTAACACACACACTAACTTTTAGAAAATAAAGATTATTCTTAAAACTAAACAAAGAAGGGGCTGGTGAGATGGCTCAGTGGTCTACAGCACCTACTTAGAACAAGCTTAGCAAAGCACAGGGACCGCGGTTCAATCCCCCAGCACCACATGCCAGCCAGCCC